GTATATCAGCAATAAGTCAATGACGCCTTGACTACGTGGTATGCCACAACAGCCATTGCACTGCATCTAAGGCAACTCATAAGTTTGAACTAAGACAAAGCTTTTTTGTTGCAATAACAGAAGATGTCATAGGATAGAATAATACAAAAGAGTACCTGTACAATGGACTGTGCACAATGCTTCCATGAAAGAACAGCACCTTCCATTGAGGCCAAACACTTTTGCTTTGTGTAGTCACCTGCTAGATAGAACCCCTCTACAGGAGATCTTTGCAAAGGACGGCATGGTTCACAATTTGAGGTGGTTTTGTATACAGACCTAACAAAATTTAGGAGTTATGTCAAGTAAATGAACTAGAAATATAAATAAAGTTAGGGCTTGGTGCCGTCCAATTAGGATCATTAATAATATTTTGGTAGTGCAAATGTGAACTAGAAAAAAAGGAAGAGGGTTAAAAAGAAACTGGGGCAATAGTTAAGTGAACAAGTTCTATCCAAATTAAGTAGTGCAAATGTGAATTTTCAGTCCGATGACTCTGTCAGACAAAAGGTCTTGTCAATTTAACACCAAAATCATGGTAAAGATGGGATTATTTCAGTTTCTGGATATATGGAAATGCTTAACCAGAATTTCATTAACATGCCTTGTGGTGACGATCGAATTTTATAATATTAAATTATTGGCAGATGAGAAATTAGTGTGCTTAGCTATTGCAGAGGTTTGAGGTATTACCTTAACCCAAAATTAATGTTTCCAGTAATGTCTACCATCTTGTTGGTTTTTTATTAAATTAATATTGACAAAAAAATGTTAGGGAAAATAGAAGCTTCATGGTATGTCTAGCAGAGTACAACCTTCTGAAGAGTAAGTGATCATGTATGTGTTCTTCAGTTTTCTGTCAAACCTGCATAAGAAGATAATCTGTGTCAATCAACCACTGGAATCACATCTGAATCATTAGCAACAAGTATTTAACAAATCAGAAGTATAATCACGACTCACGAGCCAAGCAATAGATATCATTATATATTTGCTGATATGATAAAATAAAAGAAGAATAAAAAGGAAGAACAAGGGAGAAAACAGAGGAATAGAAATGCAAAACCATGGAAAAATAGTAGAGGAAAGTCAATTCTTCATAACTCATCGAACCTAGCTTAGCTTTTATATATAACCAAAACCCTGATTCCAACATAAGCACTCTCTGACAAAATTATATAATTACTTCTAATTAGTTCCAATAGAAATAGAAAATTTTAATTTTCAGGTTGAAACTCGTGTAGAAATACACTCTCTTAGGGAAAAAACTTGAATCAACCTATCACAAAAAGAGATAAAACTGCCAGCGATCATATTTCTGCCCGCTGGGATGCTTCTTTAAAGATGAAGGGATCAAAGGTCCCTGCCAGTGAGACGGCCACTTGATATCACTCTCCCCAAAAAGGCAACCTGATAGAGTCATAGGTGAACACAATTGGCTCACGCCTTCCTTAATAAGCATTTGACACAGTATTCGGATCACAATTGATAGAAGTTTGATACACTTTTCATACATTTTCGAGTTCTTAACAGCATTAGCATTAAGCATGAAACTAGAAAGGAAAAACCTCAAATCGCACAACCAAGTAAACCGGCACATCAGATTCCCCATTTCCAATTGGATGGATGACCTCAGCTGCATGTGCCACATTTATGTTTCCTCATACTTATGAACGAGCACATTAAACTTCAAATGGTTAAACACATAATGCACATCCTGGACCTTAGTCCCAACTGTATGCCCGTTCCACCACAGCACATAGTCCTCCTTCTAAGTATAACGAGTTGCAGGCAAATTGTAAAGAATCAAATTAACCTGATACATGATCTCATCGATTCTCTTCTTCAAGAGCTTAAAGTTATCGGGAGATAAGCGAGCAGACTGGCAAAGGAAGATGTTCGCGATCTTCTTTGTGCAGTTTTCCTCACTTTGTTATGGCAGTTTCTTCGATTATCTCCTCCCATGGCTACGTCAACCCACACAGAAACGCAGTCTGCTCCGTGACCATTTCGGAGAAGAAATTTCTCCGGTCAATCTGGAACGTAGATGATTAGGTAGGCCACCTTGTGATGACGTGGATAGTGCAGAACGCGAATGCTCAATGATCACCATCCCCTATATTGGGCTTCATTTTTTATGTCCCAATTCAGTTTGGGCCAATTGAAGGTCTCTAATCTCAATTCGTAATAAAGGTCCAGTGGTCCACGACTTATTGCAGGCGGCCCACTGAAAACTATGGTTTCCATTTTTGAAGTACAAGTTGCATTTATTTACCATGTAGCAATACATAAAAATTTTTTTTTAGTATATCTTATTATGAGTTATAAATTTTTTTTTTTCAAATCTTTCTCATCCAACTCAAGATTTAAACTTGAGTTTTTCAATTTGAAATCTTAAGTTCTTAACCCATTGAGTCATCTATTGAAAGTAATATGTAACTAATACATATTAACTAATCTTAGATACTATATATTTATACTACAATTAAACCGTTAATGTTATTAACTTCTAAAAATTATTTAGAACTAGGAAAGAGCTAAAATAAACTTGAATACATTAAAATTTGATCTAAAAACTCAATTTTGAGAACTTGCACCTCAACAATACAAGAGTTTTATTTTGGAATCAAGGCTATTGGCCCGTTTGATACCATGGTTGTTTCTAATTTTTATTAGTTTCGTAAGTCTTAAATTAAAATATAAATAATTAAAACACAAATAAGTTTAAATGAATGGAGTGAGTTACGATATGAGGGAAAAAAAAATGCTTCCCTTTCTACATTTCAAGATATTCTTTAAAAAATACACACACACAAATAAGTTTTGAAAATTTTGCACCAAAAACAAATTGTCTATTTCAATTTTAATTTTGATTTTTAACTTTTAATTTTAGTTAGTATTAATTTTTATAACCAAAATTATAAACTACAGTAAAAATAATT